ACTTGCGGAATGATATTCTGCATCTGCTCATCGCGGTATAATGGAGCAGGGGGTAAATCCAGCGCGAGATAAAGGAACGGCAACTCCTTTGCGCTTTCTGAGAAGATCACAAGGATAGCATATTAATCAAAAAATCAGACAAAGATACAGTTTCATGGACTAACCATTATATTCGGGTTGTTGGAGAAGCCGCATTCGTTCGTAATCTGTTGCCTCAGCCGGAACAACTCTCCTTGAATACTGTCGCATGCGACCACGGAATATTCTGAACACGTATGCCATCATCTAACTCTCTGACGTACTTACCGCTTACTTGTATATAATGGAAGAAGACGATTTCTGAGTTCCATTCAAAGCAATGTGCAATGTGTTTAGAAGAAAGCTCATAAACTCAGCAGCATCTCCTAAATTCACAAAATCAAAAGCTATCTCGTACGTTCTATTCTCAAGAGAAAAACTATTGAGAAGAAGACGTTCTTCTAAACATATAATAATGGATACGCGCTAAAATTACCTTGTTTGATGAACTGAAACTTTTTGTCGGAACAAAGGACAGTGGCCTGAAGCATTTCATGAGGTGACACGTGAGTTCGGAATGCTTTTGGATTCCATAGCTTCCTAGAAATATTTCTTATTTGGTACCTAAGATGAAATGGCAAGTGATCGTACCTGATTAGCTCTCCGAATCTTTTTGGCAGAAGACTGAGCTTATCACCAGGAGGTCTCTTGATGTTCTCATAGTTTTCCTCTCGAAGGAAATAATCACGTAAAGGAGTGACATGTGACAGTGCCTGTAATGATAGTAGAATCCATTTTTACTGAACCAGATTTGCTCACAAAGCTTGTAACCACAACTTTGTTGGAGAGGAAAGAAGCTGAGTGTGTTCCGATATAAAGCCGGTACACGAGGGTAGTCTAACTAGGAGAAAAGGGGCTGTGGTAAAGATTTTGAGGATGTAGTATTGATGGTAAGCTCAGCACCTCTTGTGCTCGAGTTCTTGGGCTAGAACTTTGGTTCAGCACACAATTCACGCAGCAGTACACACTGGGAAAAGTTATTCAAAAAAGAAAAAAAGCGTACATGAAGGACCACATTACAGTAGTCGTTAGCTTTGATATTATTAAGTCCGACCACTCCTGGGAAATAAGTGGAATCGTCGTATGCCCTAGCCATTCTATGTTGCCGATCCAAAGAAGCTA